TAAAAGAAATGGGATAAATATAGGAAAATATGAGATAGAATATACAGAAAAATGGTTTGGAAGAAAAACAAATAAGTAGGTAGAAGCAGTTGGCCAATAAGGAGTGGAAGAAATTCAAGGATATGAAAATACACTAAAGGCCCAAAAATGGTAACAATTAAGCGGCAAACAGAAATAAAATTATGTGAGAATCAGAAGACTTCTAAAAAATGTAAAGCAAATGAGGATAGAACAATGCATTAGATTGGACGGATATCAAACAAGAAGCTTTAAATGCTGCAATTTGGCAATGGGGCATGTAGATGGACTGAAGAAAATAAGGATAGAAGTAAGGATAATAACAAAATGGAGATTGCAAGAAGAATGGGTAAAACGGGCTTGTACACTTTAATTGTGCCTCCTATATGCCAAAGGGATTGTTTCTCTAAAATTGGGAGGGGAGAAAAAAGGTGATTTTGTAGGTCAAGCATTGGCCTGTTTACCTCCATAACAACTTCATGTAAGCACGCATGGGTATGCATCTGCCTGTATATGAAGCAGCCAATTCAAGATTTCTAAGGGTAAATATTAAAGAAACAACGGTTAGTGTTTGGCATAGGTAAATAAATACGAGTGTGGTTGAATGAATGCAGATGTGCTGAAAAGGCAACATAACATATGTGCCCTTGAGGTATGGTATTCATACAAGAGTTGGAGCCTTGATGGAAGAAAATAATTACAGCTTCATGGGAACGTGCTGGCTGTAAATGCATGGAGCTGTGGGCAGACAAATATGTAAAGCATTAATGGTTCAAAATGTTGCCTTGAATCCCGAAGTAGTTCTGCAAACGAAATAAATAAAAGATATCGGTAAGGGCTAATTTATAAGTACATGTGCAAAGTTAGGCGGCAAAATGCACGGAAAGACCCCGGACAGAATGATTTTGGTGCTCTTGTTGCTGCTGCCTTTGTTGTTGCTGAGGCGGTATAGAGTCTGGACCACAACCCAGTATGGAGCCTGATGTATAAGAGGCCTGCGCAAAAGAACATCTTGGACTGTTGTTATTGCTATTGCCAATATTTGTGTTTGTAATTAAGACTGGTCCAGTCTGTACCACATCATTCGTGGTCTGGCTAGCCCAAGGTGGATCTCCAGGGCATGAGGGACTTCTAGGTGTGCCAATGGACTTTGAAGGCTGTTCCGAGGGGCGCATAAATAAAGAGGGTGAGTGAAGCATGGAAATTCCAGTTTGACGATCAAAGGACTTAACGGATGCATCTGGAGCCACTATACACTCAAAGGATCTTTGCTTACTTTCAAGCGCGGACTTCTTGGTTGATTGTTCGATTGGGTAGGATGATACCCAAGGCACCTCCCGATTCATTGGATTAACTGAGTTGATACCTGTATCCACCGTGCCTCTAATATTGTTCTGTTGATTTACTTGAAGAGAGATGACGACTTGTTGGTGATGTGGATGATGTATGCAAACAGCAGGAGAGATGCGCGGCAGTGCAGATAATGGGGGGCGAGGCTCAGGACCATAGTAACGTTCAACCACATAATAGCGAGTCTCTAGCTGAAAGGTAAATAGGTAAACAAGTAAATAAACGATAGGATGAAACAATAAGTTCCCATCGTATATATGAAGACCAAGATGTTGTGGAATTTTGTTTTTCTACCCAGTCTCTTTTAGTTGTAATGTTGGTTTGACTTCATTTTCGCAACTTGGCCGGGATATAAGGGAAGCCTTGTGCAACGTAGCTAGTCATGCCTCCTCTAACATAGTATTCGTGATTCCCAGCATCGGACCATTGACAGGATACATTCCATCGGCATCGTCAGAGGCGTCATCATAAGCACGAGTTACCACTTATCAGTGACACAATCGAGACTAGTTCAGCAGAAGAATTGTGGGATTGAATATACCTTGTATGCTTTTAACTGGGCCTGTTTATCTTAATATATATGAGAGAGGTCTGGCTGGCCTTAAGCATCACATAAAAATATGTCCTATGAGCAACCATGGTAGTTTAATGTAATGGCAACATATAAGGAAAAAAATGTTGTCCTACATGAATGTGATTCTCATTGAAGGCGCTGGTAAGGCCTAGGCAAAGTGGAAACTACAGTCCAATCTTGATGAGAATCTTTTGGGAGGCAAAACTGGCATAGTGAGGTATATTGATAGCATTTTGGGGAAAATCTATCCTCAGTCCTTCAGCACTTTCAGAACTAGTGTTCACAGTACTTACTTGAGTGATATGCTTATAATAAAGAAAATCCGCTACTATTGAAGTCTAAAAATGTGGCAAACATCAAGATGCGAGAACTTCGTTATCGTAAAATAGCAAATTCATGAAGAAACTAATCAGAAAAAATTCATATAGAGAAAATAATGCTCCATTTTCAGTCTTATCATAACTACTACTGATCATCAGAAGCTTAGGACTAAAGAACATTGAGTTTAGGGACAAGAAGTTGGACAAAGTGACTTGGATTTGCCTTATTAACGAGTAGTCTAGGGAATTTATAGAAATAAATGTAGGTGCCATAAATAACAGATTTCGAAGCGGATTTTAAGAAAATAAGATCGGGAATCGGAAGAAGGACCAAAAATAGATAAGACTGACCTCGTGTGAAATGAGCCGAAAATTGCTACAATTACTAAGTAAATGGAATATCCTGCTGATACCAAAGAAGAAGATAACACTCTTCACCTACCAACGCAACACAAGAAGAACGACAAACTGGATTGCTCGATAGTTTATCGCATCAAATTTGGCGACTGTAAGCAAAAGCAAGTTGGTGACACATGAAGAAATCTCGGCCTACGAATCAAGGGATACAAAATATATGGATATGAGATAACCCCAAAATAGCGAAACACAATGCACGTACGGGTCATGAAATCGACAAAAAAATTGTATGTACATGGTGAAAATACGAGAAAATGCAGAATCCGAGAGGCCATTGATATTTTGACTGAAAGAAATCCAATGAACAGGAGACTTGAAGAAGTTAAGATCAGCAAAAACTTTGCAGATTGCCTAGGCAAACTCAGAGATTAGCAAAAATAATGATGAATGAATGAACGACTGGATCAGGATAACATTTTTAGTTTTAGGAAAAGAAATTGCAAGGAGACCAGAAAGGAACAATCCGAAACAAAAAAGAGATGTCTACAGTGGGCCCAATCAAAACAAGCAAAACCACAACAATTTGGGGTTGGCACACAAGAGGCTAGGGCATAAGAAATCATAGACTTGGCATTATTGATAGAAGTCCGATAGATATGGCGGAGACTAAAGATTGTTGGCTAACAATATAGTTGTTTAAACATAGATGTGGTCCGTGAAGCAAAGGTCTGATCATAAGAATTACCTTGTGAACATGTCGAACGGGGATAACGAGATCTATAGTTTCGAGTTAGTCTCGCATTCAGCCTAAAAATCCAGATTTTAGGGACCTGCTCAGTGATGCGCGAGTATAGGCAGTTTGGGAAATAACGCCTCGAGTAG